CTCTTAAGTGTTTTAGATGCCTTTGAAAATTTTACCCCCTAGTCTACAGCTCAGGCCTTATGTATACAACAGGATCTTGTGAATCTAGCTTCCTAGTAACTGCTGAATATTCACCTGTGCCTCTTTGTGTTAGTTTACCCTGGCCTGCTAGGCTTGATTCTGCCCAGTGGCAGTGGCTACAGTATGAGGAAGTGGCTGTTTTGCAAACTCCGAACCCTTTTTGAATGACTCTGAAAGTAAGGAAGCTGCTGTTCTTTCTTTCCCACCCAAACCAGCTCTGGGCTGATGTACCAAAAGCTGCAAATATAGCAGAACAAGTGAATAATACACATTTTAGTTTAAAGAGAAGCAGACAAAGGCTGTCGATGGAAAAGGGAGTTAAGTAGGGAATGGAGAGGGTGGGAGTTGTTGCAGAGATGAGGTGGGGGGGGCTGAGTAATAAGCAGTAATATGCAGGTTGTTTTTTGTTTTTTTCTCCTCACCCCCAAAGCAGATCAAAGAGAGATGTCAGGAAAGAGGGGCAGAGAATGAGGCACCATTATTCCTCTCATATAGTCTATAGGCCACTTGATGTGGTAGAGGTGTCTGTTTCAAAAATTCAGGCTGATTCCAGAGTTAATCTAGCATCTCTGTGAGGTGCTAAAGGGGGACATGGAATGGATAACCTGAGGATGCTGGCCATAATTCCTTCTTTGTTGACCAATGGAGAGAATAGAGGCATAAGACAAACCAAAGAATCCAGGGTTTTGGATTACTTTTTTATTGCTCCTCATCAGCATCTGTGCTCGTATCACCTTTCCCGTGGACAGGCAGAGGTAGCAGTAGATCCCACAGGAATTCTATATTATGTCCTATGGTTCAGTTCCCACCTATCCTGAGTTTTATGGACAGCTCCCATATTCCCCTGAGTTCTTCCAGACAATATAACTCTGTGAACATATTTGCATGCTGTCTGCAATGCTAAGAAGATTGTTGTAACAGTGGTGACCTTATATCAGGAACCCTGTCATAACTCCTTCATCCTAATGCACGCAGGACTACCAAGGCTCTTTGAGAGCAGCGTGATCCCAGGAGGTTGGGTAGGTACTGCCAGAGGCACCATATACATGTCCCATAAACATGTATCTATACAATGGCCTAGTGTCTTAGCAGAGTAAACTCTCTACTTTACAGGAGACAGAGCCTTCTCTCTGAATGCTGGCTCATGATACAACTTGTGATGGGGATATCTAAATTGTGCACATGAGAGAGAAGAAAACAGAGAGTCACTTGTTCTTTTTTTCCTCTGCCTGTTTGCTGTTGGCTTGGAGGCTGGCTGAGAATATGTCCCCCCTAGCTATAGGGAAGACATTAATATCACTTAGTGGTTCAATAGTGTGTGGGGAGAGGGGATACTAGCTTCTCTCTCCCCCCTCCCACTGATGGCAATGGGGTAGGGTGGGATGTTCTCACTAGTTCATCTAGAGGTCTATGTTATCACAACATGATGGGGGGCTGGGAGACACCTGTGATAACCTAGTTTCTGGGTAGCTGACTAAAGGATTCCTCTATGGTCAAAGGTGTTTCCTCAGGGTGGTAATGGCACTAGCAGCCCCACTCTGAGCCATGGCACTGGCAAAAGCAAGCATTCATTCTTACACCATACACCTCTACCCCGATATAACGCTGTCCTTGGGAGCCAAAAAATCTTACTGCGTTATAGGTGAAACTGCGTTATATCGAACTTGCTTTGATCCGCCGGAGTGCGCAGCCCCCTCCCCCTGGAGAACTGCTTTACCGCGTTATATCTGAATTCATGTTATATCGGGTCGCGTTATATTGGGGTAGAGGTGTATATGTTCAGTAATATCCAAAATCCTCTCATGACTGTGGCTTCATTGTGCTAGGTGCCATACAAACACAGCAAGACATGGTCCCTATTTATTATCTCTATTTCAGTAGCACCCAGAGGACCCAACCAAGACTGGGACTGCATTTACTAGACACTGTACAAACATATAGTGGGAGACAGTTGTGCCCCAGTGATCTTGCAATCTAAATAGAAAAGCATCTGAGAAGAATCAGGTGAAGCTATTTGTCCAAACTCACACAGCAGGTTGGGGCACGACTGGGACTAGAACCCAAGTCTTTGGGGTCTAGGGCTGCTAGCAGTCCAATATTATAAGGGGGACATCCCTTATTTAAATAAAATACTGTTTGTCCTGTACTAAATCAGCACAGGACACCTTTTATCACATATTTCAACAAGGATTCAATGCTACTCAAGTTGCTGCTGGTTGGCAACTTGACCTGATGCACAGGGTTACAATGCCACTCAAATTTGGCCCAGCCACCCCTCCATCATGCCTAAGTAGCCCCTGGACCTCTGGGTTTCTCCCATATTTTTGAATTACAGTGTTGGCAACCATACCTGAGTCACCTATCCACAAGACTGTACTGCCTCCCAGATGATCTTTGCTCTGCTGCTGTGTTTGCGATCTGATTTTAGACAAGCTGGGGTAACAAGTAATAGGAGGAAAGGAGACTGAGGGTGAGGGTAGGAGTAATAAAAATGCACTGTTCCATTGTTGGCTGTGTGCACAGCTGGAGGGTCCTGGATCATCTGACCATTTAAAGAAAATCTTTTTTTAAAATTGCTATTAAATCACAAATTCATGAACCCCTTTTACAGTTACCCATTTCCCAAGCAGACAGGGCCCCCTGGCTGCCATTCCTTTCTCTCTGGGGCTGGTGGTGAAAAGGGACGTCTTAAGCCACCCTGAGGGGAGGGGCCCCTGCTGCCACCCCTGGGACGCAGGGGAGAGGAGAGCCCCATGCTGCTGCCCCTGTCTCTCTGGGAAGGGGCGGGTCTCTTTGCCAAGGCTACTTCAAGTGTGTGTGTGGGAGGAGGACAGAGCCATGGGGTCCCTGTGTCATGGTGTGCCTATGGCCCCAGGTTGCCTTAATCTGGCCCTGGGCACCATTACTGAAGCCACCAGCAGATATCTGACAAAAACTGTTGCCTCCAATAGTGCCTGCCTTCCTGGCTCCCAATACCTGAGGCAGGAGGGGGCGGGGGGAACTGCTGTACTAATGTATTCTCTACCCACTACTTGGGAGATGGTTTTTTTTTTATGGGAGTGTTAGGTAAAAAGCAAGTCCTTACTCACCTCTCCAGCACCCGAGTTCGTGCGGAGTTGGTATGGGGCTCACAATCTGTCAGAGACCAGACACCAATTCATTGATCAACGGGCTCACACTATTCTTAGCTTAAAAGGCTTCAGAGTAAATGTGGCAAGTTTATTAGGGGTGAGCATCAATATTTATACACAGAAGTAAACAAAGTGATTAACAGATCATAATGGTCATGCATAATCAATCAAGATTCTACAGGATAAAACAGGTTAAAATGTAAATTCAAAAAGACAAAAGGGGAGATGGCTACTTAAGGGGAGGGGGGTGTCATGAGTAGTTTGCAGGTCAGAGCTTTGATTAAAAGTTCAGACAGAAACATCAAGTCTGGGTTAAGTTTAAGCTCATCAAAAGTTCAGACTCAACAGGAGCCTTATACTCTCCTCTCACAATTAAGGCTGAGCCCCCCAAGCCTGGGCTGTCTTTGTCTTTTCCCTTGGGTTGCAAGAAGGGAAAGGTGGAGACACTGTGTGGGTTTCTCTCTTCACCTTTTCTTCCCTTAGGCACCAAGAGGACTAGCATCTTGGATGGAGGGCATGAGTAGGTCCAGGGGCTCCATTTCACTCCCTCTTGTTGGGACACTGTGGTTGGAAATATACCACCTCAATGTGGAACCTAAAAAGAGGGTCTCTGAATATTGTTTCTGGTTCCAAATCTTAAGAGCAGATTGAGAGACCCAAACCTTTCATTTGTACCCACAAAATTCGGCATGGGTGGGAGGGGTGTCTCAGATTAAAGGTCTGGGTTTGACCCCTCTGTAAGTGAAGGTGATATTTGTTTACTAAGACATGCACTTACATTTTAACACCCCACATCTACAGGATGGATGTGTTTGTGAAGGTTCCTGTCAGATTCCTGTAGTGTCTTCATTTATTATACGAATCTGAACTTCCAAGTGCAAAGTGTAATCCTCATGACCTGGATAGATTTAATAGCTCCTTTAAAACAGGACAACTCCAACCAAACTATTGTGTATGTTTATAGTGTGCTTGGTTGTGTGTGTAATGTTGAATATAAAATATGAGTGGATATAACACGATTACACACAGAGAGCCACAGGTATTTGCCTGTACGTGACAGAATATAAAACGTGAAGCTATAATATATATTATATACATATGTGTATAATGTGTGTGTTTATAATTATATATGAAGAGGGGGATGCGTGGGTTGAAGAAACCACTTTCTGACTGCTTATTAGAAAGCAATAAACAACCGCCTGAATCCCAGCAGTCTAGCGAGTCTGGGACATTTTAAAGTGAATTCTTATCCTCTGGAGTTGGAGATCTCCAATTAGCCTCAGACTAAAGCGCACAGCGTGTGTGTGAAACAGGCAGTTGCTGGCACGCAATCTTTCCCAAGGTTGTGCTTCCTTTCCTTTTTCCTGAGATTTGGCGCAGGGGGAAGGGGTCGAAGTCACATGGACACAAAGCTTTTGATTAATGTCCAAGCTGCCTGGGCTGCTGCTGCTGCTGAAGCCTTCCAATCTCGCAGTCCCACAGAGCGCTCGGAGAGCAGGAGCCAGTGACCACTCGTTTCCTACAGGCTGTGCCCGCTTCCTTACTGGAAAAGAAGACACGCATTTGTATCGCTTTGCTCCTCTGGCTCTCAAAGCACTTCTTGAGCAGTGGAAGAGCGAGCGAGCCTGGTTAACAGCCTGCAAGCCACGGAAGACCAGCCCCCCGCTATGTAACTGAGTGGGGTCTTTTGTTGTCCCATCTGAACTTTGCTAGAGGAAACACCGAGGCGGCTTTTCCTATTGGTGGCTGCGAACAGCAGAGGAGCTGGGAGAAGCAGGAGCTGGGAGCGAGGCTTCGCTTTGGGGAACAATGACAGAAGAAAGCAAAGGCGAAGGGAAAGGGGAAAGCGGGAAGGACCTGGAGAAACAGCTTCGCCTCAGGGTGTGCGTTTTGAACGAGCTTCTGAAGACTGAGCGGGACTATGTGGGCACTTTGGAGTTCCTGGTGTCGGTGAGTTAAGTTTCACGAAGCTGGGTTCATCGGTGGCTAATGGAACAACACCCCCTTCCCGCCCTCACAGGTTTACCAAGAGGGGGGACAACACCAAGGAATTGGGGTTGTCGCGTGTGGGGGGGAGGGCGAGAGACCCAAACAAACGCGCTCGGAGGCAGAGCCGGGTGAAATACTTTTCCCTGAGTCAATCTGTTTATTGCAAGTAGCTGTTGTTTTAAAGAGACTGAAGCGAACTAGCTTGTAAATGGCTGGCCCTAGGTGCGCTTTTGCAGGGAATTTACCACGAGACAAACCATTAATCTGGGACTGGCATCCAAGAACAGAGTGCCGTGAGATGCAGGTACACTTTGTTCAACGATCTTTTCAGTCTTCGCTCGTTATCCAGACAGCAGCGCAGTGCAGTCCTTTTACTTACCCCCCACCAGAATACTATGTTTCAAGGGTTATTGTAACAGAAAGAGCAAAGGGGGGTTCTGATCGACAGCAGCTGTTGAGTATTAAAGCCACATGTGGCATTCACCCCTTCCTCTACCCCCATATTCTCCAATTTAAACCAGGCTTTGTAATGTAGTGGTTGGATGGAGAGTTGAAGGAACGGTTAATTATTATTATTATTTTTTTAAAAGCATCTTAGAGTATGTTGTAGCAGTAAGTTTTAGCTTCATTCTGTGTCTTAAAATCAGTGTTAACATGATTTATTGTTAGGTTCAAATCAGGTAGTTGCAGAAACTTTTGCTTTCTGATGAAGTTATCCTCTGGTAGAGCCAAAGAAAGTACTATTTCCACTATGGAATGATAAGACAAACATCATAACATTTCTTCCCATTCCCATTTGCACCCAGCATCAACAGCATCACTTTAAGGCCTCTTTGGGATAAACAAATCTCAAGTCATCGGCTTAGTTTTGCAGAGGGTCTTCCATAATAGCCCTGACATTCTTTTCTCTCCTCCCCCATCCCCTCTGAAGGGGCAATCTTTCAAACAGCAAACTTCCTGCTTTGTTTTTTTTGAGATCTCTGAACTTTCTGGTTATTATCATGGCAAAGGAAATTCTCAACTTGACTGTGACAAGGAGAATAAAAGCACAGACAGTGGAGTGAAATAAGATCTACAGAGTAGCCTTTTTGTCCATTTGTTTATGTAAAATGATCAGTGGTCCAATGTATTTTGCTTTTATATTTGAATATTAAAAAAAGAGAGAAAGTGGTAGTAAAATTGTACTATGCTATGCTTCCATTTAGCAACCATGCTGTGCTTATTGGCACAAATATTGATTTTTAAGTGACTTTGTCCAAGATTTGGTTTTCAGCTGTATATTTAATCTACCTCACAATAATTATAATGTTTACATTTTCACAAGTGACCGGTTATTTGGGATACTCAATCTTTGGGTATCCAACTTGAGACTCCTTATAGGGTTTTGGTTTTCAAAGAGTAGATTCAGTTCCTCCCCTGCCTGATGTGGAGCAAGGATTTGATGTTGGGTCTTCTCACTTCCAGGAGGGTGCCCTAACCACTGGACTATGGGGTATTCTGGGACAAGTTTCTTACACTGAAGCAGTTCCAGAATGTATAAATTATTAAATACCCATTGGAGGAGGGGGAATGGAATCTGGGTCTCTATATACAGTGGACGAGCTTCAAAAGAAGTGATTGAGAGATACCTTCCCGAAAATACCCCATAGCCTGGTGGTTAGAACACCCTCCTCTCAGGAGGGAGGTACAACTTCAAATCCCTGCTCCTCATCAGGAAGAGGTGGGAATTGAACCCTGGTCTGTGTGCTAACCAATGGGCTAAAAGTTATAAAGGGGACAGTAGCTTCAATTCCTTCTGTGTTTTTTGCAAAAAAGGGATTAGGTGCCTATTTCCAGGAGAGGGTTCATGACTGAGAATCCAGTGGAGATAAGTGCCTCCTTCTGACCCAGACTTAGGTGCCTAACTCCCTTTGAGGGGTAGGGCTTAGGCCACACCCCACTCATATATATTTCCTATTGGTTAGTTTAGGCAGCTGTCTGCTCAGCATGCTGGCCGTTGTGGATCCCATTTTTCAGTGCCTCTCTAGATATAGAGATCTTGGGCATCTAACCTGGAGCTGTGGATTCCACTGGGTGACATGGCACAAGAACATTAGCCAATGGAAGGCTGAGCACTGTGACACTTAAGACCCTTTGTGGAGCTATCCCTCAGTGCTTTAAAAAATTTTACTGGTTGAAATTAATAGGATCAGAAAATATTTGCCACAACTTGAGATCAGGGCCTATTTTTGTGAGGCCCACAGAATGCAATGTATTATGCTATGTTTGGAGAGGCAACTAGCTACAATTACAAACATTACAACACAAGAGTCCCTGGTGTATATGGCAAGCTAGTTTGACTAGACAAGATGGTGTGGAAATTCAAGTTGTTAAGAATGGTCATATTTTCAGATATGTTAAATATAGGAAATAAAAAACTAGCTTGGTAAATGAAAAAGGCCAAAATTAATAGGGAAAACTTGTATGAAAAACCTCAATGAGGCTATTGTGAAGAAGTGGGAACAAAGACATTTAAACCATGAGAAATTACTTGATGGTGTCATTTTTCTCATTTTGAAAGTGAATGCAATGTTAGTGAAAGATTTGGGATTAACAACACTGAAGATTAGAGTCCTTTGTTTATCTGTAGAACTGGTTCAGGTCTGGGGTGGTTTCCCTGTGCTACCCTGTCAATGGACTTCAATCAGGGACCCTCACTTAGGATAAGAGGGTAATTTGTTCTCCAGGCCCATTCAATCCTTGGAATTTTTGCTAAAACTGTCAAAAAGTTTATCAACTGTGCAGATGTTTTTTATGCTATTTGAATGCCCATCAGGGGTGGCTCTATGTATTTTGCCGTCCCAAGCATGGCAGTCAGGCAGCCTTCAGCGGCATGCCTGTGGGAGGTCCGCCGGTCCCGTGCCTTCGGCGTACTTGCCGCCGAAGCCGCGGGACCGGCGGACCTCCCGCAGGAAAGCTGCCGAAGGCTGCCTGACTGCCGCCCTCACGGCAACTGGCAGGGCGCCCCCCGCGGCTTGCTGCCCCAGGCACGCACTTGGTGCGCTGGTGCCTGGAGCCGCCCTTGATGCCCATTACAAACTAGACTAAGGTTACTATCTCTTGTTATAGGCACTGTGGTGGTGCTCATCATTGTGGTATCTGATCACTATTTCACACAGGCTACTGTGTCAGTCAGTACTAACTTTCAGTCACTATCAATTTGAGCTAGATTCCGAGAGGTAAAAGACTCCATACCCCATTTTACCAGCTGCCTGATAACATTTTTTGTTAACATTCATCACATATGATTCTGAACAAGTTCCGTTAGGAATAACAATGTCAATATAATTCCAATACTGGAAATGAAATGAAAATATTCAACATCTATGTGGTCATGATGGTGATTTTTTTTTTTAACATTTTTGGCGAGCTGACCTATAAAATATTCAGGAAGAAATTTTCATGTGGCCATTCTATAACTTTTTAATCAAATGTGCCCTGTTAAGGAGTGATAACACAAGATGATTTGAGCAGCAATGTGATTATAAGGGGGAATGACTGGAATTCTGTACCTGTTATTATAAATCATAGTTCCTGACTCAGTAGGAATTGGTAAAAGAAATGGACAATAGATAACACGGGGTGGGGTTTGTGTGGGGAAATAACATAAATCATAATAGATTTATCAGTCCTAACGTAAAATTCCTTCTAATGTTAAAAGTGAAAACCTGAAAGTCTGAAGACATTGACACAATGCTTCTTCAAGACCTAGTAAAGTAATTGGACTATATACAATAAGTAGGGCCCTACCAAATTCACGGTCCATTTTGGTCAATTTTACAGTCATAGGACTTTTAAAATAGTCAGTTTCACAGTTTCTGATGTTTATATCTGAAATTTCATGGTGTTGAAACCGTGGGGGTCCCAACCCAAAAGGAGGTTGTGGGGGTTGCAAGGCTATAGTAGGGGGGTTGTGGGATTGCCACCCTTACTGCACTGCTTTCAGAGTTGGGCAGCCAGAGAGCAGCGGCTGCTGGCTGGGTGCCCAGCTCTAAAGCCAGCATCACCGCCAGCAACAGCGCAGAAGTGAAGATTGCAGGGTATGGACAGTGGATTACCATATGTCCTGGTTTTCACGGCAGCCTCCTGCCTGGGTCAGCGTTTGACAGCTGGGGTCTCAGCCTCCTGCTCGGGTTAGGGGCCGACAGCCACCGTCACTTCTCTGCTGCCTTCAGAGCTGGGCTCCCAGCCAGGATCCATGGAGCTTCCTGCAGCTGTGGAAGGTTCCTGGAGGTGGGTCTGACCCGGCTCTGGGAGCAGCCCCCGCAGGGGAAGAGGAAGTCCCATCCCTCCCCAGCCCAGGCTGGGACTAGCAGCTGGAGCCTGGCGCATGGTAGGAGCCCTTGGCTGGAGCGCTTCCAGTCCTTCCCCTCCCCTACAGTAGCCAGATTTCACGGTCTGTGACGTGGTTTTCACGGCCATGAATTTGGTAGGACCCTAACAATAAGGCATTGTAGTCTTAGTATGTATCTGAATTGTAAAATTCTGCTTGCCCATTCACTGAGAATATTTTGGTTAGATAAATAAAATACCTTTCTCCCTCAGTCATTCCTCATCCATCATTGTCATCATGGTAAGGAAGGGCAAGAAGACTTTTTGTCTGAGTTGGTAAATTTGTATCACAGTTTTGCCAGGCTGGTGTGTATATTAAGTGAAATACAGCAGAAGTATGTCAAATTGGGTAAATACTTTCATTACTGAATTGGGCATTGCTGTCACGTCTATATGTGATTTCTCATACCTGCCTATTTTTGGTGTTTTTAGCCTACACACATCACAGATCAACCTCTGAGAGGGCCAGATTATATTAAAATTATTCTTTCCTTTTTCTGAGTCTTCTGTGTGACAAACTTTAATAGCATGTCATATATAAATTCAGTTGATACCTAACTAATAACTGGACATTTGGGCCCCATTTCAGA